TTTTTTTTTTTTTACCTTAGAAGTGTTCTAAACAAGGAATAATTTTAGTTTACAAACTGGAATAGATGTTCTATAGCTTCTAGATTTTTTCTTTTTCTAGAACTTTTATTTTGAAATAATTTTAGACTTAGATAAGAGATGAAAAGATTGTACAGAGTTCCTACATACCCTTCACCAGCTTCCTCCAAAGTTAACATGTTACATGACCATGGTATGTATAATTATCAAGAAATTCACTAAAAATACTAACATTGGGATAATACTATTCATATAGACTTCATTCAGATTTGGTCGGATTTTCCACCAACACTCCTTTTTTGTTCCAGTATCTAATCCTGGACACACCACACTTAGTCTTCACGGCTCCTCGAGAACTCTTTCTTTGACACTTTTGGCAAGTACTCGTCAAGTAGTTTGTACCATGTTCCTCAATTCAGGTCTGTCTGAGGTTTCTTCATTATAGACCTAAGGTTACAGATTCGGGAAAAGAATACCTCAGAGGTGAGGTGCCCTTCTCATTGCATCATATCCAGGAGTATATAATGATCAACATGCCATGTTACTGGTGATATTAAACCTGATCACTTGGTGAGGTGACTACCATGTTTCTCTACTCGTAAGTTGCTATTTGTCCATGTTCATACTCTATTCATCAAAGCAAGTCACAGAACCAGCCTACACTCAAGGGAATCCATGAAGTTTTTCATTTAAATTACTGTATTTTTCATCTCTAGCAGTTCTATTTGGTTTTTCGTCATAGTCATTCTTTTCTCACGGTTTTGATTTCTTCTTTAATGATTTTAATTATTTTAAATATATTTATTTCATAGTCTTCTCATGTATCTTTGCAATATCCAAAGTTCTTGAAGCACTAATCCCACTGCTTGTTTTGTCTGTTGACCCTGGTTCACAGTGTAGTGCTTCACAGTGTTTTGTAATTCTGGATTGTCATCTTATCTTCAATGGGGCATTTATGTGCAGGAATATCATGGACCTGGGTTTTGGAATTATCCTAACAGTGCAGTTTTCCAATTGCTTCTGCCAAGAAATAAAATGGGCTTGGCAATAATTTTTTTACTTTCTAACCCAGTGGGTTCGTGGACAATAGGGGTAGTGTAAATTCAGGCTATAAACCTATAGAATAATTGGAGTTCTTAATTATTCAGAAGAGATTTTTGTTGTGTCTTTGTGATGATGGACAGATTTTTTGTTTTCTGGTCTATCCTTTTATGCAGGACACAGGCTTCTGAAGATCCAAGTTGTAAGCAGAGATCTCAGTTCAAAATACCTATAGGGTGGACCCAGTATCTCATCTCCAGTTGCCACATGGAAGACAGAGACCTAACCCTGTAAATTATTGGAATGGAAAGTATCCCACTGTGGGTAGCCACAAGGACTCATTCATGGCATTTCTTCTCTGATTTATGGCTTCCTTGTGATTTCTGGCATCTGACAACCTCTCTTTATTGAAAGCTCATTTCTGGATTTGGTTTCTAAGCTTGATAGATTTATTCAGCATTTCTGAGTGTTTACAAAAAATTCTGTTACTTCAGTCAACTAATTTGGCAAAAGCAAAAGTGTTCCCTGTCTTTTATGCCAAATTAGTCAGGAAAAGAAAACATTCTGAAAATAGGTTTGAACTTCACCACCTGTTTTTTTTTTTTTTAAACCTTTTCCAGTATTTCAAATAGTCAATTCTGGATCCCCATTAAATATACAAAAGACACAACCAAGGACATCAATTAAAATCTTTGACTTTTGCAGAGTTTTAAAGAAATCAAAATTAAAGAACTTTAAGTATTAAGAAACTGAGTGGAACAGATACATGAAATGGGAAATAAGATACAATGGAAAAGAGAGCCCTAGGTTAAGAATCAGGAGTTTTGGATTCAAGTTGTACCTCTATGGCTGGTTGGGCTCAAAGTAAAGGTTGTACTCAATGATCTCCAACATTCTATGATTCTGGTTAATTCATAAAGATACACATTAGATGATCAGGTTTGTTTTTATTTACTTGCATTCCAATCTGTCTAGTGTTAACAAGTAAACCAAAATTTTTGGCATACTTACTAAGATATCCTTCCAAAATGAAGTATGATTAGTTGATATTAAGTATAATGTTTGCTACATATATTTCTTTTGTTATTAAAATTATAAACACCATTGAGATATTTATTTACTTAACAACATGTAAATGCAAAATGGAAACAAGTCATCCCTTGGTATTTTATTAACACAAAATTCACAACATACAAATTTATAAGAATTAACCAGGAAATAGGTGAACTATTAACCATATATTCTATATTAGAAGGGAGAAAGCAATTCATTGATTTCTAATCTAGTGTAATTATCTGTGCATATTTTTTCTAAGTTCATATGAATATGTACAAATAACTCCCCATGTATTATGTATGTGATACTTAGACTTCCCACAATGGTTTACATATTAGATGAAAAGAAAAGAAAGCTTTATCTCATATTCTACCTTTTCTCTGGATCCTTTTGAAGGCACAATGAAATCATTTTTCTAAATGATTTTCCATACTTTTTCAGCATTTCTTTATCTTGAACACCAGTTTCCAAAGAAGGAGGATCATTCTGCAGTGTCAGCATTAAAACCTGTAAGAATTTTCAATGTAATATAAACTTCTGAAGACTCACTAAAATTAAATACCGTGGCAAAGATTTTTCAATACAGACAACCTCCTTAACATACAAGCGGATTTTATTTTCTAAAAGTTAACATGTAGACCAGTTGTTTGGAACCTAGAATTATTTAGTTGTTTTCCACATAAATAATACCCTATAGATAGCTGGTTTTCCAGACAGTGCACCTGCTAAGAGCTCAACTGTATCAACACTGCAAGTCCTTCAGTGAGAATCGTTTCTTCACATTCTCCATCCTCATTCATATACTGCCAAACCATCTTTAAAGAAAAAAAAATTAAAACCGTAACAAAATGAAGAGTGAGACTTTGCTGACTTCACCTATTCACAGCCCCGCTTCAACTTGACCCCTTATAACCTGGCCATCTCCTCCCACAGCTCTCCAGAAACTTCTATTGCAGAAATCACTGATGATGTCCTCGTTAACAAAGCTATAGCCTTTTGGCTCTCATTCTTCCTACCTTCCCTGCAGTAGCGAGCAATCTTGGTTAATCTGCCAATCTTAAATCTCTTCCTTCTCTTTTCCCACAACTTTCAATCGCTACATACTAGCTTGATGCATAGAGATGAAAATTATGAAGATTATATTTATGTGGAAGGATTTTGGGTGATTTGTGTTTCTCTATAGTGTCTGACATTATTATAAAAGTCAACATTAAAAAATAAAAGGGGGGTACAATCAGAATTACTACTAGATTTCAGATTTATTTACATTTGCTGAAATAGAATTACTAAGGTTAGTTGGATTTCTCATTTTGAGCAAAGAGGTTAACGTGTACATCTAGCTTCAACTGCAGGAGTCACTGCCTACAATGAATAAAAAGTAAACCTTATCCTCCTCCCCTATCTCATTTTTAAGAATAAACAATTTCTCTGGCCTAAAAGTAGCCTCTCGCAAATAAAACTCCATCTTTTTCAAAACCTTGTGAATATCCTGTTATTCCCAAGAGTCTCAACCTTTAGGAAAACAATAGCCCTAACACCCCACTAATCTTCCACACAATCAAGTCTCACCCATCAAACATGTATGCGATATACTCATTTTGAATATGGAGATACAGAGCAGCATTCATAAGCCTCTCTACAGTGTTAGAACCTTAAAGGGGACAGAAAACATCATTTAAAGGTTCTAAAGTATACCAAATGGGTGTGAATAACATCGATATGACAACAGTTCACAATCGTGGTCACCATTTTGAATATTCACAGGTCACCTTGTAAAGTGGGCAAGCAGAACTACAAATACCAGCTACAGAGACAGACAAGAGTCGATCTCATGTGCATACTGTAACTAAGGAGTCACAAGATAAAACACGTCACTAACAGTACTGGCAGTACTATCTTGAAACACAAAAAACTCATTCTGTTACTAATGCTGGGGACAGAATTAACAACTAATTTCAGACAAATACTACATCAGGATTTAACAACAGGCCTTTCTATAAAAGCTGCTAGTGTCCTACCACAACACATTTTGATATGAATGTTTATTCATTAATAATGAGAATGATGCGTTATGTATGGCACATGAGTACTGTATGGATTATCTTACTTAATATATGAAAAGCACTGAAAACAGTGTAAGTGCTCAGTGGATATTAGCCATTATCATTACTAATAGCAACCCTTCCCATGACCTTATGAAAGATATGCCCACCACCCCTTGGGGGCTGATCCACATGGATGATGTGGGCAACATGCCCTAAAATGAGAGGAGCAGACCCTAATGTCAACCTAATTAGAGAGGAGATGGAGGGCCACAGCTAAAGAGGTCAATTACAATGCAAAGTCATCCAGTGTAAACACCAAGCATCTAACAGCAACTTTTAAGTGCCAGAGAAGCTGGAAGGAATGCAAGGCAGAATTCTATGTGTAAGAATGTCACACGAAGAAAGGATGAGCCAGGGTGGTTGCTGGATACAAGCCTCACCTTCATTGGCGGGTACTTATGGTAAGGAGCTGCCCCTGTGGCCAGTTCAATTGCTGTGATCCCAAAACTCCAGATATCAGCTTTGAAATCATAACCACGGACCTGTAAGGAACAGATACACATGATCACTTTTACCACCCTAAAAACACTTTACAAAGGTAGATTCCAGTATGTATCAAGAATCATAAAAGCATTCATAAGTTGCAAACCAATAAAATAATCTAAAGTTGGTAAAACTAACTACATTTGGTAACAGGAAAAAAAAATCCAACCAGAGAGAATGTTCACCAACAACGGGGAAGTTCTTTGGTATAGTATATCCACTTAAAGAAATATTAAATAACCAACTGAAAGCAATGTAAATGAATTCTGTATGAAAAAATGGAAAACCACTTGTGATAATGCACTGAAAAATACAAAATTATCCTAAGTTTTAATACTGTTACAAACAGGTATATAGTCTATTAAAAAGTAGAAGTAGAATTGAATGTCAGGCAGTGAAAGTGAGTCTTCTGTTTTCCAAATTTTCTGTTACGGTATTATTTTATTGCCTTAGTTCTTAGAATGGAAAGAAGAACAGAGTTAAAAGATATTTTTAAAGTTGTTGATATATGTTACCAAATTTCTCTCCTTTTATGTCACCAGCACATTACATAATAAAATATTTAATTTTCTATGCCAAGAAATTACAGGAGAACAAACAGGTTCGGGGAGTATATGGATTGAGATCTAAAATGAATGCTCTATACTGCCTTGACATCTGGTACAGAGCAGTGCCTCTAACGACACGTACTTTCTGAAAGTTCATGTGATGTCACTCAGCTTTTAAGAAGGACATACATACATTGTTCCCTGTTTCCCTAACTGAAAGAAATCCAAAGAGGATTTTTGCTTTCATGAAGAAAGGAGAGAAGTGAGAATAGAGCTCAGCGTCTGCTCTGGAGCAATCCTAACAGAGGCAGCAGGCCACCCCAAGCCTTGAGGGACCCCCATGCCCTCCCAGGAACCACACTCAGCACTGAGACATTCCAACTGTGTCTGTGAGCCTCTGGGCTTTATCGACTTATTTTGTGCATCTGATAACAAGATGTGCCCTAAGGTATCAGAAAGGCAGAGGGAGGTTATTTCTGGGATCTGGAACACTCAAATTTTTTTCCATATAAATTAATGGTAATTACTTCTTCACTTTATATCACTTTGGCTTAGGAAAAGTATGTGGTAGGACCACTCTATTCTCAGATAGTGGGGGAAACTTGTAAACCAAACAAAAGTAAACACTACTCCAGTTTTTCAGTTTTGTAGCCAAACCCTAAACCATTTCAAAAAGACGAAAGACAAGTACCTGCTCCATAACTTCAGGTGCCATCCAGCAAGGAGTTCCAACGAAGGTCTTTCTCACTTTGTTTCGGGTAATATCACCACCAGTTGCTAAAAATGCACTAACCCCAAAGTCTGAAATAGATACAACGGCAAGGCATTAAAAGCACATTAACTAATATAAATGGATGGAAAAATAGTATACTGTAGTTACAGTCCCAAATACAAATCACATGGCATTTCTCTCTTGCCTGTAGAAATGCTTGACCAAATTAAGACACAGATTAACAGGTCCCTCACTCCATTTCCCTTGACTACCACCCATGATCATCTTCTCAGGTCTCCCTCCTTGATTCAATTCTTTTCTTCTTATCTTCCCAAATTGAAGCCCTGTCCCTATTAACCAGTAACTCCCCATTCCCTCTCCCCCAGCCCCTGGCACTACATCCTACTTTCTCTCTGACTCCTTTAAGTACCTCATGTTAAGTATAGTCATACAGTATTTATTTTTTGCTTATTTCATTCAGCATAACATCCTCAAGCTTCACCCATGTTGCAGCAGGTGTCAGAATTTCCTTCCTTTATGAGCTGAATAATATCCCATTGTACATATATACCATATTTTACATATTCCTTCATCTGTTGACAGACACTTGGGTTGCTTCCAAGTTTTAGCCATTGTGAATAATGCCACTATACAAATAACTGTACAAATACCTGTTTGAGTCCTTGTTTTCAGTTCTTTGGAGTTATATAACCAGAATTGGAATTGCTGGGTCATATAATTTTAATTGAGGAACTGCCATCCCATTTTCTGCAGCAGCTATACCATTTCACATTCCCACCTACAGTAAACAAGGATTCCAATTTCTCCACATCCTTTCTGTTTTGATATCACAGTAATGCTTATATTGTAAAACATGTTTCGAAGAATTCTTTCTTCCTCTATGCTTTAGAAGAGTTTGAGAAGGATTGGTATTAATTCTTTGAATGTTCGGTAGAATTTACAAGCGAAGCCATGCTCCTGGACTTCGCTGGGGGTTCAGCCTCCTTACTAGTAATCAGATTTTCCATTTTTTCATGATTCAATCTTGGAAGATGTATGTTTCTAGGACTTTATCCATTTCTTCTAGATTGATCAATCAGGCAGCATATAACTGCTCACAGTAGTCTCTTACAACTCTTTGTATTTCTGTGGTATCAGCTGTAATATCATCTTTTTAATTTCTGATTTTTCTTTTTTCAAATCCACCTTCTTTTCTCCTCGTCACATACAGACCTTTTCCACACACATTTCTGGCATCTATAAAGTCACTTGATTGTTGGTCAGGTACCATTTACTCTCTAAAGCTTTGCTGGCATCAAAATATGAGTTAACCAGTATTAAACCTATAAAATATTTATATAGCCCAACACATTAAGCTTCAGACACCTGGCAATTGAACCACATAAAAATAAGACAAGACCCCACTCTGCATGTTAACAATCAGGTGTTCACGGTCCCTATCTGGCGACTGTACGCTGATTCAAAAGGCAGCAGAGGCAACAGGCAGTTACTTCAGAGGACACTGAATACTATGATCTGGAAGCACATTATGATGTTATCCTAGTATAGCATACCTCCCCACCTCTCTCCAAGGTGGTCTCATAATTCTAGAATGGCAGGTCCAGCTGATACAAAATGAAGACAGACAACACAACATTTACTCTGACTTATACTATGTACGCACTATGATTCTGAACACAGCTTGTCCTAAAAACTTGTCACAGTCATCCTGTTTTTTTAGGTTGGGCGATCCGTCAATCTTGCACTTGACAGTGCTGTTAGCATCAAAGGTAACTGGACAGCAACTAAGATAGCTCTTAGTTGGCTGCAGATACCTCACATGCAGTTTTTCCCCATAATATGGGAATATTTTAAATCTGTGGTTCCACTGGGAGGATAAGTTGATAGAACTGCTCTGTGTTCATCCTTTGAAATACATTCTATCCTTGGTACTCTTTTAGGCTTGAATCCAATTATTTTGTTCATTTTCACAGGAATACAAAGATTTCCTTTGGAGTAATCAAAATCAGGATCATCCATACCACTGCGTGCTGGAAGGAAGGCAACAATAAACTGACATGCAACATAAATTGGACCCTTCTGTTCGAAAAGTGCTCCATCAGGACAGGCTTGAGATTCTTCTGTTCTTTTAAATCATGACTTCAGAAACTTTCAATGTATCCTTTATAGGACTCTGGATCAGATACAATGAATGAACATTCCGACACAGTCAATGGTTTTGGAAAAACCATAAGCCCTGGACTAGGAATCTGGTCATGGTATTTTAGGACCTTATCGTTCACAGTTTGAAGCATAATCCACACAGTGAACGAGAAGAGTGGACCCAGGAACCCAACAACAGGTAGAAGAGCAAGATTAAACTCCAGTTTTTGGCGGTGAGCCCCAGAAACTCCCTGGTGGTCCAGCTGTAGAGAAGTGCTTCCACTTGGTCAGGCCCAGGTTGAAGGACCTCCTCTTACGTCGTCATGGTATGTGCAGATGGCAAGGGGATGGGCAGCTGCAACTGGGGTGGAAGCAGGAAGCAACACCGAGGTGTGTCCTAGATAAAGCAGCACAGAAGGTGGGGTGGCCAAGGACACCTTTTTGCTGCAGTGCACACTCTAGCAGACCTAATTTCTGATTTTATTTATTTTCCTGGTGAGTCTAGTTAAAGGTTTGTCCATTTTGTTTATCTTTTCAAAGAACCAGCTCTTAGTTTCACTGGTCTTTTCTACTATCTTTTTAGCCTCTATTTCATTTATTTCTGTTCTAATCTTTATTTCCTTCCTTATTCTGACTCAGGGCTTCATTTGTTCTTCTAGTTCCTTGAGATGAATAGTTAGGTTGTTTAAAACTTTTCTTGTTTCTCGAGGTGGCCAATTATGGCTATGAACTTGCTTCTTAGAACTGCTTTGCTGCATCCCATAAGCTTTGGTATGTTCCATTTCCATTTTCATTTGTCTAAAGGTATTTTTATTTCTCCTTTGACCCACTGGTTGTTCAATCTCCACATATTTGTAAATTTTCCAATTTTCTTCAACTATTTCTAGCTTCAAATAACTGTGGTCTGAAAAAAATGCTTGATATGATTTCAATCCTCTTAAGTTTATTAAGACTTGTTTTGGGGCCTAAGATGATGATCTTGGTAAATGTTCCATGTGCACTTAAGAAGAATGTGTGTTCTGTTGCTTTTGGATGAAGTGTTCTGTAAAATATCAGTTAAGTCCATCTGATCTACGTACATGGAAGGCCAATGTTTCCTTACTGATTTTCTGTATGGATGATCTGTCCATGGATGTTGTGGGGTATCAAAGTCCCCTATTACTTACTGCATTGCTGTGTGTTTCCTTCTTTAGGTCTGTTAATGTCTGCTCTATAGATTTAGGTGCTCCTATGTTGGGTGCATAGATATTTACAAATTGCTGCATCTTTTTATTGGGTTGTGCCTTTCTTTGTCTCATATTACAGTCTCGGTTTTAAAATCCATTTTGTGTGACCTAAGGACAGCTACTTCACTTCTGATTTTTGTTATTTTAGTCTTCTCTCTTTTCTTTAGTTTTTCCAGCTTTAGATCCGTCAATTTTGGTGATCTTTTTGAAGAAACACCTTTTGATTTCATTGATTTTCTTTTTTTTTATTAAGATATCATCGATATACACTCTTATAAAAGTTTCCTAAGAAAAACAATGTGGTTATTACATTCACCCTTATTATCAAGGCCCCCCCCACACCCCAATGCAATCACTGTCCATCAATGTAGTAAGATGCCAGAGTCCGTATTTGTCTTCTCTGTGCTACACTGTCTTCCCCATGACCCCCAACACACCATGTGCACCAATCATGATACCCCACAATCCCATTCTCCCTCCTTCCCCACCCGCCCTCCTCCACCCCTCCCCTTTGGTAACTGCTAGTCCCTTCTTGGAGTCTGTGAGTCTACTGCTATTTTGTTCCTTCAGTTTTGCTTGTTATACTCCACAAATGAGGGAAATCATTTGGTATTTGTCTTTCTCTGCCTGACTTATTTCACTGAGTATAATACCCTCTAGCTCCATCCATGTTGTTGCAAATGGTAGGATTTCTTTCTTTCTTATGGCTGAATAGTGTTCCATTTTGTGTATGTACCAAATCTTCTTTAACCATTCATCTACTGATGGACACTTAGGTTCCTTCCATGTCTTGGCTATTATAAATAGTGCTGCAATAAACATAGGGATGCATATGTCTTTTTGAATCTGAGAAGTTCTTTCCTTTGGGTAAATTCCTAGGAGTGGAAATCCTGGGTCAAATGGTATTTCTGTTTTTAGTTTTTTGAGGAACCTCCATATTGCTTTCCACAATGGCTGGACTAGTTTACATTCTCACAGCAGTGTTGGAGGGTTCCCCTTTCTCCAAATCCTCGCCAGCATTTGTTGTTCCTAGTCTTTTCTATGTTGGCCATCCTAACTGGTGTGAGGTGGTATTTCATTGTGGTTTTAATTTGCATTTCCTGATAATTAGCGATGTGGAGCATCTTTTTATATGCCTGTTGGCCATCTGGATTTCTTCTTTGGAGAAGTGTCTGTTCATATCCTCTGCCCATTTTATAACCGGGTTATTTGCTTTTTGGGTGTTAAGGCATGTGACTTCTTTATATATTTTGGATGTTAACCTCTTGTCGGATATGTCATTTATAAATATATTCTCCCATACTGTAGGATACCTTTTTGTTCTGCTGATGGTATCTTCATTGATTTTCTCTACAGCTTTTCTACTCTATTTACTTTATCTGTGGTCTAAACTTTATTTTCCTTCCTGTGGTTAGCTTTGGATTTAGTTTTTCTTCTTTCTATCTCCTTAAGCCATAAAACTAAGCTGTTGGTTTGTTATCTTTTTAAAAATAACACGCCCATAGCTATAAATTTGTACCTCAGCAATGCTTTTCCTGTGATCCCTTCATTTCAACATGTGATTTCATTTCCATTCACTTCAAAGTATTTTCTAACTCCCTGTGACATCCTTCTTTACCCATTGGTTGTTTAAGTATGTTATTTAATTTCCACAAATTTTGAGTTTTCTAGTCTTACCTCTGTAACTGATTTCAAACATTACCCCACTGTGGTTGAAGAAGATACGTTGTATGGGATCTATGTTTTTAAAATCTATTGAGACTTTATTTGTGGCCTAACATACCAACAACCCTGGGAAGTGCCCGATGTGCACTTGAGAAGAATGTGTATATAGACAAGTGTTCCATATGATGGTTAGATCTGGTAGGTCTCTCATGTTGTGTAAGTCCTGTATTTCCTTACCTTCTGTATGTTGTATCCATTATTAAGAATGGAATATTGAGGTCTGAACTATTATTGTTCAGAGCTATTTCAAGAAACTGACTAGAGCTATTTCTCCCTTCAGTTTCTGCTTTGTATATTTTTCTGGTATGCCATTGCACACATGAGTATTTGTAATTGTTATTGTCTTCTTGCTGTATTGAACCTTTTAGTAGGTAATGTCCTTTCTCATCACTTTTTTTTAATTAAAAGTCTATTTTGTCTGACATCAGAATAGCCATTCCTGCTTTCTTTTGATTACTATTGACATGGAGTATCTTTTTACATTTTTCACTTTTAATCTATTTGTTCCTCAGATATTGAGTCCCTTATAGACAGCATAAAGATGAATCATGCATTTTTGACTATTCTGCCAATCTTTGTCTTTTGATTGGATAGCTTTTACATTTAAAGCAATTCCTGATAAAAAGAGACTCACTTCTATCATTGTGCTATTTGTTTTCCACATGTCTGAAAGATTTTTTCCCCTCATTTCCTATATTCTTTTGTATTTAGTTGATTTTCTTGTGAAATGCTTATTTTCCCCTCATTTCATTTTGTTTATATTGTAGAGCTAGTTTCTTTGTGGTTACCACAGAGATTATACTTACCATTGTAAAGTTCTAACACTCTAATTTGAATTTATACTGTTAACTTCTCCTTTGCTGTACTATTCCCACCCCTTTTGATTGTTGGCATCAAAAAAATTACATCTTAATACACTGTATGCTCAAAAACATGAACTAATAATTTTTTTAAATCAACTAGTCTCATAAATTTTGGAGAAAACAAGACCTAGACTTACAAATCCATGTTCCTATAATGCTAACTCCTAAATGAATAGTTGTTTTTAGTAACATATTCTCCTAAGTCATGTAGGAAACAGAAAGTGGAGTTACAAACCATTGTTATAATAATACTAGCTTTTACACTTGCCCTGTGTTTACCTTTACTGAGATCTTATTTCTTTACCCTGCTTTGAGTTATTACCTAATATGCTCTCATTTCACCTTGCAGAAATCCCTTAAGCATTTCTTGCAAGGCAGGTCTACTAGAACAAATTCCCTCAGCTTTTGTTTATCTGGGAATGTCTTAATTTATCCTCACTTTTGAAGGACAGTTTTACCAGATATAGGATTCTTGACAATATTCTTTTAGCAGTATATTCTTTGAATATACTGGCCCACTGCCTTTTGGCCTCCAAAGTTTCTGATGAGAAATCTACTGATCACCTTATTGAGCATCCCTTATTTGTGACTAGATGCTTCTCGCTGCTTTCAAAATTGTCTTCAGCTTTCATAAGCTTGATGATGATGTATCTTTGTGTGGGTCTCTTAGAGTTTGTCTTACTTGAAGATCATTTAGTTTGATGTTTATATTCATGCACTTCATCAAATCTAGTAAGTTTTCGGCTATTATTTCTTTAAATATTCTGTCTTCTCCTGAGACACACACAGTCTGTATACTGGTCGGCCTGATGGTGTCCAACAGGTTCGTTGATCTCCGTTCACTTTTCTTCGATCTTTTCTGTGCCTCAAACTCAGTAAATTCCATATTCCTGTCATCAAGTTCATCCATTCTTTCTTTAGCCAGTTCAAATCTGCATTTAAATCCTTCTAGTGAATTTTCCATTTTGCAGTACAAGTTATACTTTTTGCTCAAGAATTTTTTAGGTTTTTCTCTTTATTGTTACTCTGTTTTGTTCACACATGTTTTCTTGAGTTTCTCCACATCTTCCTTTAGTTTTCTGAGTACCTGTAAGATGGCTGTTTTAATGTTTTTGTCTAGTTCATCTCCATCAGATTTTTTCAGTGAGTTTCAGTTGATTTGTTTATTTCCTTTCAATGGGCTATACTTTACTTCATTGAATCAAGTGCTTAAAAAAACATGATGATTCTGGGACAATGGTGGAATAGGAAGCATTAAGTAATTTTTATCCTCACCTAGATAACAGCGGACCCTGAAAAATCTGATGTAGCTCTTTTGGCTTGCAAATTCTAGGTGAAAGCTGGGGAGGTAATTCATGTTTTTTCTGTAAAAAAAAAACTGGACATTTAAATATGATCATGGGCTAATTTTGGTAATAACAGGATTCTCCCTCTTTCCAAGGGTTTTTTTTGGGGGCGGGTTTGGGGGGGTTAGTGGTTGTAGGATGTCTTGTCTGTGTCAAGCCTCAGCCTGAGGTGTACACTTAAGGTATTCTCAGGTCTTTTCTGTACCTTTCCCTGGGCGTGTACACTTTCTGATTTTCCCTGTAAATCTAGTTTTTTTTAAACATCCTAGTTTTTTAATGTCTGGTTGCAAAAAGGGGAAGAAGAGAAAAATGAAGGGAAGAAAAAAAAAGGCACTTGCCCCTGAAGTTTCTTTGGGGGGCCAGGGACTGTGCCATGGTGGCTGTCTTCCTCTTTGTCTGCAATTCTGTGATCAGAAGCAGCCATCAGTGATCAGAGCATAGATCCTTGCTATTTGGAAGAGACGGTCCTTTTTGCCTACTGTGGTTCCCGCAAGCTGTGTACAAGCCACTCTAAAAACGTGCATAGCCACCTTACAGAAGGGTGGTGGGTGAGGGATGGATAGCCCTCAAATTAACCATGAATACCTTCCCAGCTTTCACCTAGAATTTGCAAGCCAAAAGAGCTCCATCAGATTGTGCTGAGTCCGCTGTTATCTAGGTGGGGAGAAAAATTCCTTATGCTTCCTACTCCATCGTCCTAGAATCATCCTTTTTTTTAAACCACTTGATGTGTGCCTCTCTAAACAATACAGCATAATTGTGCCTGGTTTTGAACTCATATGAATGGAACCACATGCTATATATTCTGACTGGCTTCTTTCACCCTGTTTTCATAATTTATTAATGCTTTTGAATGTAGTGGTAGTTCTATTCATGTTCATCACTATATAGTATCCCAACATGTGTGTTAGCCACAACTTATTTATCTGTTCTATTAATGAAGGGCATTGGGACTGCTTCAAACTTTCAATGCTTTTGAGCACTATGGCAAACACAAGCATGAGTTTGTCTAGGCTAAAAGTCAGAGTCTTAGGGTATATATATCTTCTACTTAATAAAATGTTTGTACTAACTTACACTTCCACCACCAGAGTATGAGGTTTCTTCCTCTGCTTTACATGCATGCTGATAACTGGTATTATTAGATGTTTCTGCCAGGTCAGTCGGTGTAGTGTTGTATCCCAATGTTATTTTACTTTGCATTTAATTGATTACTAATGAGACAGAACACTTTTATTATATTAATATTTTGATGTCTTTATTTGGGAAGTCTTCTGCCTATTTTTTATCTGATATTTTCTTGAGTTCTTTATGCAGATTTGAGCCTTTTGTCAGTTTATTAATGCTGCAAATATCTTTTTTACTCTATGGTTTGTAGAAGACAGATTTACTTACTAATGGTAATAAACCTTTTGTTCCTCTTTCAATGAATAAAAGTTGCCAATTTTAAATGAGTCCAATTTATCATTTTTCCCTTTGTCTTAGAGCCTTAGGTGGCTTGGCTGAAATATTTTCTTACATTACGACATGAAGATGTATACTTAAATTATCTTCCAAACCTGAAGAAATGATTTAAGGTTTGGGTGGATTTTTCCTCCTGCCAAACATACAACTATTCCAGCAGTGTTGGACCAAGCTGAGGTTCTCTCAGATGATCTACTAATTCAATAATCCTGAGGTCGAGCCCTTCTGGAGTCTCAGCCTACAGGAGGAGTTAATTTCACCAGGATAGCCAGCTTTGGCAGACCCTGGACTCAAACTCATCTCTTTAGCTCTGAATCTGCGAAAAGTGTACTTCCACCTTAGATAATGTTGCCTAATATGCAAATACCCTGTTTCTTCCAGCAAAGCAGCAGCTCTGTATTACCTCTTTAAAGCATATTTATTCTTAAACACAATGAGATTTCTGGACTCTGTCTCCTCTAAAGGAAAACACAAAATTCTATGAGAACTAACAGAGGTAAGGAGTGGAGAACTGGAAGGTAATGAGTAATAGTCAGAAAATGTCTAAGATCAAAAGTGGAATGAAAAGTGGAGGATATCCTGAAGGTCATCAGGTATGTACCAATGTAGGATGGTCCAGGGAACAGGAAAGAAAACTAAGAAAACATAAAAGATATGAAATGTGGTTCTACTGACTGACCATTAAAATCAAAATAACACAAAATGCTAATCATTACCTGCAATCTGTACCGAGCCATCTTCTCCAAGAAGAATGTTTCCAGCTTTCACATCTCTTAAGACAAAAAAAGTTACATTAAAAAACAGCTATTCCACAATAAAAGGCACAATGCTCTGCACCAGACTGCTGCTCTGTCTCTGTCTCTCTGTCCCCCTGCTCGCCCTCCCTCTCTCTCTCTCTCTCTCTCTCTCTCTGTCCCACTGCTCTCTTTTTCTCTCTCTCTCCCCACCCGCCTCTGGGGCAGCCACTCTCTCATTCAGATAATAAAGTCTCTTGTGTGGGGAAAAAAAAAAAACTGTTCCTTGAAGTGACATAATAATTTAAGTAATTGTTTGCTCTAATCACACAACACTGGAAATAGTAAATGATCTATTTTGCACTAAGGGGTATTGAGGCCAATGGTAGAATTTTTAGAAGTTTAGTCATTTGTACTAGAATCCAAACATTATAAACAAAAAGCTACAATAATACATAGCTTGCTACTATGAAACCTAGAAAATCCATGGTAATTAAATATTTGATTGGGATAATAATGGCCAAAGAATATGACCTTCACCTAATTCTACTTTCTGAAATATATTTATTATTTTCTACACCGTAACATATAATAAAAAATTGTAAGTGGTCAGTATGTGGTTGAAATCAGGGACTATTCTATGTGGATAGCATAAAGATGGCTACAAATTATTCAAACTCTATTTTTATTGGTAACTATTTATGACAACTCAAATAATACAGGAATGCATGAATATATTGTTAAAAAAAACCTGAATATCACTGAAAAGGCCAAAGTCCCTTTCACCACCACTGTCAAGTCTGGAGTTCTATCCGAAGTTTTCAGCTGTTATCTGTCTGCTTAATAGATGTTACTGTGACATATCTGGGCTTTTCTTCCAATATAAATGATATTATATACTACCCATTCAAACCTACAACTTGTTTTTCTCATGCAACAGTGTGTCAGTAGTATCTGGCAAAGTTTAAAATCCCTAAATCCTATGAGGTCCCCCAGATATTCATCAAATAGAGGAGACAGCCTGCCTTAAATCCTCTTCTGGAGGTAAGTGGAGTACTATATGAATCCAACCGAACACCAAAATAAAATTTTATTATTTCCCCCACTGCCATCCCAACCCTGTAACTGCCACCTCCTAACCATTCCAAAAGTTAGGGTTATAAACTAATACACTGAAGTCAAATAGGACAACTAAACTATTCATCAATAGGAGACCAGTGTTTACCTGTATAATGAAGTACTATGAATAGTAATGAACATATGTCTTAATATGGAACAATCTCCAAATACATTAAGTGAAATAACAATACTACATGTAATATATTACCAGTTGTTTTAGTTTTTTTAAGCAGGAGGAAGAGGTATCTACACATAAAGTTTATATCAGCATAAAATTTCTCTCCAAAAAATCCCAGGAAAATGGCAAGAAGTGGATCCCTTTAGACAAGGGTATTATACATTCACGGAAGGAGGAAGGCTTTGTTTTTTATTTTTTAAACTTCATTTTTTAGAACAGTTTTAGATTTACATAAAAATTGAAAAGATGGGGGGCGGAGCCAGGATGGCGGTGTGAGTAGAGCAGTGGAAATCTCCTCCCAAAAACACATAGAGCTATGAAAATATAACAAAGAAAAATCTTCCTAAAATAGAGACCACAGGACACAGGACAACATCCAGACCACATCCACACCTGCAAGGAACCAGCGCCTTGCGAAGGGGGTAAGATACAAGCCCCGGCCCGGCGGGACCCGAGCGCCCCTCCCCCCGGCTCCCGGCGGGTGGAGAGAAACCGGAGCAGTTTTTTTTTTTGGCGAGCGCTTTTTGGAAGCCTTAGAGGGACGGGCCCCCGTTGCTGGGGAGGCAGGGTGGCGGGACCGGTGAGCAGGTGCCTGGGAACGGCGCCGGAGGACAAAGAATATCCCGCGTTTCTCCCTGCGAGACCTGGGGGCGGGTGCCTGAGACCGGTGCCTGAGGACGGAGGAGGTCGCGCGTTTTTCCCTTTTTTTTTTTTTCTCTTTTTGGCGAGCGCTTTTTGGAAGCCTTGAAGGGACGGGGACCCCAGTGCTAGGGAGGCACGGTGGCGGGACTGGTGAGCGGGTGGCTGGGACCGGCGCCTGAGGACAAAGAATATCCCCCGTTTTTCCCTGCGGGACCGGTGGGCGGGTGCCTGAGACCGGCACTTGAGGACAGAGGAAATCGCGCGTTTTTCCCCTTTTTTTTTTCTCTTTTCTGCGAGTGCTTTTTGGAAGCCTAAAAGGGACAGGGACCCCGGTGCTAGGGAGGCAGGGCGGCGGGACTGGTGAGCGGGTGCCTGGGACCGGCACCTGAGGACAAAGAATATCCCGCATTTTTCCCTGTGGGACCGGTGGGTGGGTGCCTGAGACCAGCACCTGAGGACGGAAGAAATCGCGCGTTTTTCCCCTTTTTTTTCTCTCTTTTTGCCAAGTGCTTTTTGGAAGCCTTGAAGGGACAGGGACCCCGGTGCTAGGGAGGCAGGGCGGCGGGACTGGTGAGCGGGTGCGTGGGACCAGTGCCTGAGGACCAAGAATATTGAGCGTTCCTTCCCTGCGGGACCGGTGGGTGGGTGCTTTTTGGAAGCCTTGAAAGGACAGGGACCCTGGTGCTAGGGAGACAGGGCAGCAGGACCAGTGCGCGGGTGCCTGGGACCGGCACCTGGGGAAAAAAAAAAAAAAATCGCGTGTTTTTTCTTTTTTTTTTCCTTTCTGTTCCCTCTCTCATTGTTGCTGTTGTTGTTTTGGTTTGGAGAGTGCTTTTTGGAAATCTTAAAGGGGCAGGACAGGTCACTTAGACCAGAAGCAGGGAATCTGGGGATCTCTGGGCACTCTAACCCCCTGGGCAGCAGGGAGCACAGAGGCCCCTTACGGAGATAAATAGTCTCCTGGCTGCTCCCCCTCCAACGGGGCTCCACCATTTTGGAGGAACAGCCCCAGCCAGGCCAAGCCCACAGCAACAGTGGAGATAAACCCCAAAGCAACTGGGCAGGAAGCAGAAGCCCTGTCTGCGCACAGCTGCCCAGCACAAGCCACTAGAGGTCGCTATTCTCCCAGGAAAAGGCTACAAACCAACAAGAAGGGAAGCTCTTCCAGCGGTCACTTGTACCAGCTCTGCAAACTATCTCTATCACCATGAAAAGGCAAAACTACAGGCAGACAAAGATCACAGAGACAACACCTGAGAAGGAGACAGACCTAACTAGTCCTCCTGAAAAAGAATTCAAAATAAAAATCATGAACATGCTGACAGAGATGCAGAAAAAAATGCAAGAGCAATGGGATGAGATGCAGAGAAAAATGCAAGAGCAGTGGGATGAGATGCAGAGAAAAATGCAAGAGCAGTGGGATGAAGTCCGGAAGGAGATCACAGATGTCAGGAAAGAGATCACAGAAGTGAAACAATCCCTGGAAGGATTTATAAGCAGAATGGATAAGATGCAAGAGGCCATTGAAGGAATAGAAGCCAGAGAACAGGAACGTATAGAAGCTGACATAGAGAGAGATAAAAGGATCTCCAGGAATGAAACAACACTAAGAGAAATATGTGACCAATACAAAAGGAAAAACATTCGTATTATAGGGATACCAGAAGAGGAAGAAAGAGGAAAAGGGATAGAAAGTGTCTTTGAAGAAATAATTGCTGAAAACTTCCCCAAACTGGGGGAGGAAATAATCGAACAGACCATGGAATTATACAGAACCCCCAACAGAAAGGATCCAAGGAGGACAACACCAAGACACATAATAATTAAAATGGCAAGGATCAAGGACAAGGAAAGAGTTTTAAAGGCAGCTAGAGAGAAAAAGGTCACCTATAAAGGAAAACCAATCAGGCTAACATCAGACTTCTCAACAGAAACCCTACAGGCCAGAAGAGAATGGCATGATATACTTAATGCAATGAAACAGAAGGGCCTTGAACCAAGGATACTGTATCCAGCACGACTATCATTTAAATATGATGGTGGGATCAAACAATTCCCAGACAAGCAAAAGCTGAGGGAATTTGCTTCCCACAAACCACCTCTACAGGGCATCCTACAGGGACTGCTCTAGATGGGAGCACCCCTAAAAAGAGCACAGAACAAAACACACAACATATGAAGAATGGAGGAGGAGGAATAAGAAGGGAGAGAAGAAAAGACTCTCCAGACAGTGTATATAACAGCTCAATAAGCGAGCTAAGTTAGGCAGTAAGATACTAAAGAAGCTAACCTTGAACCTTTGGTAACCACGAATCTAAAGCCTGCAATGGCAATAAGTACATATCTTTCAATAGTCACCCTAAATGTAAATGGACTTAATGCACCAATCAAAAGACATAGAGTAATAGAATGGATAAAAAAGCAAGACCCATCTATATGCTGCTTACAAGAAACTCACCTTAAACCCAAAGATAAGCATAGACTAAAAGTCAAGGGATGGAAAAACATATTTCAGGCAAACAACAGTGAGAAGAAAGCAGGGGTTGCAGTACTAATATCAGACAAAATAGACTTCAAAACAAAGAAAGTAACAAGAGATAAAGAAGGCCACTACATAATGATAAAGGGCTTAGTCCAACAAGAGGATATAACCATTCTAAATATATATGCACCCAATACAGGAGCACCAGCATATGTGAAGCAAATACTAACAGAACTAAAGAGGGAAATAGACTGCAATGCATTCATTGTAGGAGACTTCAACACACCACTCACCCCAAAGGATAGATCCACCGGGCAGAAAATAAGTAAAGACACACAGGCACTGAACAACACACTAGAACAGATGGACCTAATAGACATCTATAGAACTTTACATCCAAAAGCAACAGGATATACATTCTTCTCAAGTGCACATGGAACATTCTCCAGAATAGACCACATACTAGCTCACAAAAAGAGCCTCAGTAAATTCCACAATATTGAAATTCTACCAACCAATTTTTCAGACCACAAAGGTATGAAAGTAGAAATAAATTCTACAAAGAAAACAAAAAGGCTCACAAACACATGGAGGCTTAACAACATGCTACTAAATAA